ATAACAACAACAACAACAAGAAAGAAGATAATGCTACCTATTTAATTGTAAAGGAGCCCTGGTGGTACAGTGGTTAAGAGCTCAGCTACTAACTGAAAGGTCAGAAACTACCAGCTGCTATGTGGCAGAAAGTTGTGGCATTCTGCTTCTGTAAAGCCTTGAAAAATCTGTGGAGTAGTTCCACTCTGTCACTATGAGTCAGAATTGACTTGAGGACAATGGGTTTGGGTTTAGTTTATTTATCTGTCAGATGCAATTGATTGTAAGACATACCCTGATTTCAAAGATGTTAAAATTTAAGGGAAAGGTGCATCTAGGAATTGATAAAATACAGAATTCCAAAAAAATAGGAGGGTGCTTATGGTTTAGTAAAGTAACCTGATAATGACAGACATTGTTTTGTACTGGCATTGTTTGTATTCAGTTCTCTTCGGACCATTTGACTAATAGTAATTATTGATGCAAGATACACTTACTAGATCTTTCCCTAGTCTTTTGAAAGGGTTTTAAAATAATAAATGTGAAATTGAGTTAGAAACTCCGTGTGTGTATGTGTGTTTGTGTGTGTTATGCTTGTCTTTGTATATATACATTTCAAAAAATTCTCTAAGGTGCTATGAATTGTCCATATAGGGTGAGTATTCTGCCAACATTTTAATGAGGAGGGAAATAAGTGGATTGAGAACACCCAGATTGCTATTCACATGTGGGAGATCGTAAATGGTATCAACTTGGTGTGTTTTTAAAAATTACAGAAGTATTCTTTTTTCTGATAGAACTAAAACCAATGCTTATTGTTAAGAATGTCAGTTATCTACATTCTGATGCTAGAATTGTGCCTTGTTTAAAACCTAGATTACAGTGTCATCTCTTTCCCCTTTTCTTGTTTTAATAGTCCAAGGTGCCCTGATCCTTGCAGAGTTACTTTCAGCAGTGAAACGCTCACTGGCTCGAACCCTTGTCATCATAGTCAGTCTGGGCTATGGCATAGTCAAGTAAGTATTAACTTCCTGTATTGAAGAGCATATGAAAGTTCTGATTAAATTGAAATTAATCAATTTCATTTGACTCATATCTGCAGTGCTACAGGTTCCCAATGTGGTAGTTCTAAAGTTGATATAAGATAATTCTGAAATTAGAAAAGATATCTGGTATTTCATAGGTTTGTAAAAATTGGGAAAATGTTACTATTTCATTTTACTTAGAATTCAAGGATCATTTGTAGGAAAACCTGCAATATACTTGAATAACATTGAAGTACCAAACTTGGAGAATAAATTTATAGTGATTTTTTTCCAAAATATTCTTGCAAATCAGACTTTTCAATGGAAGTGTATTCCTGATGAAACAGTCTGAAAATAATTTAGTTTTTATTCAAAATTTTGTATTGAATGTCTTATACATATTAGGCATTATTCTAGGGCCTAGGCATACATCAGGTAAACAAAGGACTTGTAGTTTATATTTATAGAGGGAAGGGGACACAGACAAAAATCAAATAAGTAAGTAAATAAACTAATATGTCAGTGATAAGTGTTGTGGAGCAAATAAGTAGGGAAAAGGGGATAGGGCATGCTAGGCAGGAGGTGGAGCTCACAGTTTTAAAAAGGATGATCAGGGAAGGCCTTAGTTGGTGACATTTAAGCAAAGACCTGAAGGATGTAAGGGAGCTATTTGTACATCTGGGGAAAAGATGCTGGAATGTGATTAGATTCTATATATTTTTTGACAGTAGAGAGAAAGGAATTTGTGGATGGATTAGATATGATATGAAAGAGAAGAGGAATCAAAGATGACGGTAACTGTTTTGGTCTGAGCAGATGGAAAGATGGGATTGCCATTTACTGTATTCAGAAAGTAGAATAGATTTGGAGCAAGGATAAGATTAGGAGTTCAGATAGACATCCAAGTAGATGTGGGCCAGGAATTGAGGGGAAGATGTTGGAGTAGAGGTATAAATTTGGGAGTCATCAGAATGTAGATGTTATTTAAAGCAGTGAGATCACCAAGGACATGACTGTACAGATCCAAGGACTGAGCCCTTGAACATTTTCTGTTATTTAGAAGTCAGTGAGATGAATTAGGATTAGAGCATAGGTGATTCAGGAAATTCAGGAGTGACCAGTGAACTGACAGGAAGCCCTGAAGAATGTGTTTCAAGGAGGAAGTAATTAATTGTGTCAGATGCTCCTGATAGGTCAGTTAAGATGAGGATTGAGAATTGACCATTGGATTTAACTCTTCTTGTTACGTGCTATTGAATCAGTTCCAAGTGTGTACAACATAACAAAACACTGGCCCATTGTTATAGCCACTGTGTCAGTCCATCTTGTTGAGGACTTTCTCTTTTTTGCTGATCCTCTACTTTACCAAGCAAGCATGATGTCCTTCCTGATAACATTCCTAAAGTACGTGAGACGAAGTCTTGTCATCCTTGCTTCTAACAAGCATTTGGGCTGTACTACCTCTAAGACAGTTTTAACTACATGGAGGATGTTGGTGACTTTAGCAGGAATAGTCTTAGTGAAGTGGTAGAAACAAATGCCTGATTGCAGAGAGGGAGGAATTACAGATATCTGGATATAGATAATTATTTCAAAAGTTTTGCTTTAAATGGCATTAGAGAAACAGGATGTGTTTGTGTGTATTAATTTTTTGAATTTATTCCTTCATTCAACAAATATTTGAGGGCTTCATGTAGGCTAGGAAGTCTCCTAGGTATCCAGAATACACGTGTGCGTATGTATGTATGGTCCCTGCCGTGGAACTTTTCTAGTGTATAACAACAACAACAACAAAAGAAATATTGCTAGGACTTGAGTAGGTATGTTCTAAGGTAGTGCATATCCAACTGTAATGCACAACTGAATCACCTGGGGATCTTGTTAAAATTTCAGTTATGACTCAGTAGAATTTTGATTATCAAGGATCTAAGTTTTTTCCTTCTTCAAATAAAAGTTGCACAAAAGACTTCATATTTTCTTGGCTTTTGAGCTTTCATAAACCAAAAACTGGTCGACATTGAGTTGATTCTGACTCATGGAAACCCCATATGTGCAGAGTAGAACTGAGGTCCAAAGGGTTTTCAGGACTGTGACCTTTCAGAGACAGATTGCCAGTCACATCTTCCAAGGTGCTTCTGGATGGGTTCAGACTTTCAACCTTTCACTTGGTAGTTGAGTGCTTACCTGTTTGCACTACCCATGGACTTGAGCTTTTTTGTGTGTGCTTACTGTTTATTTAATAAAATGCAGTAGGGTGTTTGATTAATATTAAGGAATTATTGTTAAAAGTTTTAGATTTGGTAATGGTAATGTATGTTTTTTAAAAATCTTTTAAAAACATACTGAAATGTATACAGATATAATATGGTGTCTGGGATTTGCTTCAAGATAATATGGAAGGATAGGAAGTAGATGGAGTATATATGGGGCAGAATTGGCCATAGGTTGATGGTTTTTGGGACTGGGTGATGGGTATATGGAGATTTATTGTATTACTTTTATATAGTCATATAGTAATTTTATTAGTAATTCGTAGTAGTATGATAATTTTACTTCAAAATTCTCCATAATGGATTTTTTAAAAAAATGTAGTAACAAGGGACCAGCTATAAAGCTCTAGAATTCACTGTCTTGTTTAAGCTCATGTGTTTTTTATAAAGTTTGTTTTTCCCCCAGGTAAATTGAGTGTGTTTGTTTATATCTGTAAATTGATAGTCGGTATAAATTGAGGTCCTGTTTCTTAGCTTGTCTTATGGCATTTGTACTCAACTCTCGCTTTGCTTCCTTTTTAGGCCTCGTCTTGGAGTTACTCTTCACAAGGTTGTGGTGGCAGGAGCCCTCTATCTTTTGTTCTCTGGCATGGAAGGGGTCCTCAGAGTTACTGGGGTCAGTACTACTTGATCTAAGTTTTTGTTGTCAGTTTAGATAAATTGTTTTTGTTTTAAGAAGGTGGATTGGAAGACTCTGGGCTTCTTTGCTGTTTCCTCTAAGTTGTCTTTGGACTGATTTTTAAAATGTGGGATAATTCAATATTCTTTTTCAATCCGGTAGAACTATATAAATTTAGTATGTGACTTGGAATGAATGTTTTCCCACCTGTCTCCAAATTAAAAATTATTTAGTTCTTCGTTCCAGGCAGTGGACTTCCATTATTTTATAAGTGACAAACTTTGGAATCATGTATTTGCTTCTTTTAAAATACAAATAATTTAAGTTTCATACCAATTACATAATTACTCCTTTTACCAAGAAAAGAAACCAAAGCACGGAGATATAAGGGGTAAAGAAATGGTTGGACCTTTCTGGGCCATTCCAGTTTTTCTCTTACTCATTTTAAAATTAGACTCTGGAACAGCCATTAGATTCAAGGTTGTAAATGCTATAACCTTTGCATTGCTGTCAAGAAATCTGGGCTCAATAAATTTTACAATAAATTGCTCCTTAAGTGAAACATCTAATTGGATGCAAATTTATTTTTCAAATCACACTGTCCTCTGTATGTAGTTTCTATAGGCTTCTGGCATTTAACCCTCTGTCAATTTTGTTTTCCTTCTTCTTTTCCTGCTGTAGTATATTACTTATCCTTTGGCTCTGATAGTAAACCTGGCCCTCTCAGCAATTGATGCCTGTATTATTTTATGGATATCCTTTCATAATGCCTTGGTCATTGGGTAATTATGGTGATATAAATACCATCTTAAATTACACTTGGGAAAACAAGCAGCATAGTGTTTGGGACAGATAATTGCCTTATATTTCATTTTGGGAGAGCTCTAGTTTGTAAAATTCCATTATAATTGTGGAAATTAGTAATTCTTAGTACATAAATGATGCAATGATTTATTATTTTTTTTAGATATGAGTAGAGCCTATTTAGACTTATTGTTAAAATTACATTGATGGGAAAGTTTTGTTGGGGGTTTGTAAACATTATAACTTTTTTGAGTTGTTTCTTAACATGACTCTAAGTTCCCTGGGAGCTGTCTGGTAGTTGCTTTTTAATAGTTAGCAGTGTGTGTTTCATTCTATGGAGATTGTAATTGCCAATTTGTGTGAAATGTTCATTGCTGTATATTCTAAGTGATGGTTTGCCAGAAGGGAAGAATGATATAGGTGTCAAGTGTTGTTCCTTTTATTTTCTTCCAGTTGAAATACAAAGCCAATTCAGGTGATTATATAAATGCAGAATTATATGCTGGTTTCTTCTCTGTGCCTCTTTAGACATCTCTTTTTCACCACTTCTTTTTCTTTGTCTGCAGGCCCAGACTGATCTTGCTTCCTTGGCCTTTATCCCCTTGGCTTTCCTAGACACTGCCCTGTGCTGGTGGATATCCTTCTCATTGGCTTGTTTGATGGCAGTTTATTTTCTCCCCTTGGAGATGGGTTTCCATTGATCTTTCTGCAAAGAGTTTTTACTACTTTTTTTGATTACTCCTTAGTCTGGAGAATAGGGTATTTTAGGCCTAACAATGTGAGGGCTCAGGTAAGCAGGGTTTTTTTTTTTTTTTTTTTTAAATCTAATTAGAAAAATCACATCAGAAGTTGGTGACATTGGACTAAGCACAAGGTAAAAGCTACTGGCTTTTTTTTTAAATGAGCATTTCACCTTGACTTTTGACTTAACTTGTGTACTGGCTGTTCTTGTCCTGTTCTTTCTTTCAGCCACTCGCAATCATTAAATGCTTTGGAAAGATTTTGATTCTTAAAATATGGTTTCAGGAAGTACGGTAGGTTGTTTGACTCTTCTAAAAAAGTCTATATAAGTTTAGTAGGTTTTAACCCTTTTATAGGATGAATTTTTGTGTTCCTCGTTCAAAAGCTGACCTTGGATTTATGTGACAACTTCTACCCTTAGAAATAAATATTGATTCATTTGCTGGCAAAGCCAACCAGCAGATAACAAACAAGTTTTCATTCTTTTTCTCCTGCTTCTTTTAAGTAGACATTTCTTTATTAGGGATTTTGACCTGTTGGGTGAAGAATTCAGGATTTTGGACTTTTTGGGGATTATTTTGACTTTGTTTTGATTTTGTGTATTTGTTTGGTCCTTTGTGCAGTGTTTCAGTCTTGATAGACTATCACTGTTGCAGAAAGCTGAATATGAATAAAATTGTATAATTTGTGAATTTGAGTGGATTGCCATATATCAAAAATATTTTGAAATTGAAGTGTCTTAAGTCCAAATGGCCAAAGCTTTTCTAGGTCATTATTTCCAGGTGTGCTATATGAACTTCGAAGAGTATTGGGAGGAGTGGACAGAGGGAGGTGGGACTAGACCATTCAATAAGATTGACTAGGTAGAAGCCAGGGCCCTGTCAAAGGGCACAGCAAGCTCCAGCTTCCTTATTTTAATATCTGCTCTTCACTCTGAAAGTTGGGCATGAGAATAGAGATCTTTTTTAGTTGTCATCAGTTCCCCCTCTCTTTCTCTGGCAACTTCTACTTGGGAATACTCAAAAAATGGAGAATTGTTGCCTTCAGAACTTAACTGCTTGGGATTCTCAGCTAATTGTAGGGTCCTCTTAATTCAGAGTAGCACAGGCAGCTCATGGTAGGTTCCTTAAGATGGACTGAGTAGAAAATTCTGGGAAGTTGTAGGCAAAAGTGTAATTATGGCCCTAGACTTGCTTAGATGATATAGGTGAGAACAGAGCCATCCACCTTAAAGGAAGAGAGAAGATGATGTTAACTCCTTATTCTTTGCCTCTACTTATTTTCATTTCATCTTCCATTTGTCTATATTTTAAAAAATCGTTTTTGTTTCTCTAGACAGTTTCTTCTTGTCTTTATTTCTTTTTCTCTCTTTTAATGTATTTCCTCTTTTTTCTTCTTCTTTTTTGTATTCTTACGTTCTTCTGGTTCTGCCTTCTTGTGAGTGTCTCATTGAATATGATGGCTTTCTTACCAATCTCAGTGAGGCTTGGGGGTGTTTGCAAGATTCTGAGAGAACTATAAAGCCTTGGAGATCCCTAGCTCAATCAGTTAGGACCCAGATCCTCAAAAAAGTGAGGATTAATCATTTAGCTTATTGTTTTTCTAAATGTTGATTTCCTTGACTTGCAAACACATATTTATTAGCCTGACTCAAACAATGAAACTATTAAAACTTCGGAGGAACATTGTCAAGCTCTCTTTGTACCGACATTTCACCAACACACTTATCTTGGCTGTGGCGGGTAAGTCAAGAATTTTCTTCCTTTTGTTTAAATGAGATTCTCAACCCAAGAGTCCAGGGATGGACTCTGCAAAATTGCGTATAAAGTTTTGTGCATTTTACTTCGGAAAGGGTACTTAGCTTTTGTCAAATTCTCAGAGGGGCCTATAGTTCAAAAAAGATTTATTTATTTTAAGTGTAATAGCTGAAAATCTACCTCATATAATTTCAGCTCTTAGTGTATCCCTTTCCCGTCTCCATTCTTTTTCTGAGGCATTTTTTTTTCCTGAGATAAGTTAGCTTGAGTGTCAAGTAGCAGTTAAATTCTTTTGTAGAAGACGTTGTTGTTGTTGTTACGTGCCATTGAGTCAGACCCGACCACTCCTTGTGTTTCCGAGGCAGTATCGCTACAGAGGTAGATTGCCCCATCTTCCTTACAAAGAGTGGCTGGTGGATTTGATTCTCTCCCCTTCTGGTTAGCAGTCAAGTGCCTTAGGCACTATGCTATCAGAGCTCCCATAGAAGACATTAACACTTGGTTATTTGGTTTTATTAAATGGCTATAAAATTTAAGATTAGAGAACATTGCTATTACATAGCTTTTGTATATGTCACTAAGGATGAGTACAATATAGGTAATCACTTTCTATCAGTTATTTTAACAAATTTATTCAACACAAATTTACTGAATACCTACTACAAGCAAGACCCATACTATGTACTGAAATGTTAATAAAAAGGAAACAGTTGTTATAGTAAAAACTCTACAAACAAATTCACTGCCATCGAGTCGATTCTGACTCATAACCTTTCCGAGGTGGTAAATCTTTATAGAAGTAGATTGCCCAGTCTTCCTAGTTTGGACTTTACCAGACTAGGCTAATTTACCTGCCTCTTGGCCCGTGTACCAGAAATAATGAGATCTGGCCCATGATTTGGAACCAGCTCTTCTGTTTGTTTTGCACTGTATCAATTTGCTTATCCTTTTGTCTCATCTGACCAGCCAAAGGGAAGTTATTGTTACTATACTAAGGATACACTAAGGGGCTCTGGTGGTGTAGTGTTTAAGACATTTGGCTGCTAATCAAAAGGTTAGTGGTTAAAGACAACCAGCTACTCTGGGAGAAGGAATCAGGCAGTCTGCTTCTGTAAAGACTTACAGCCATGGAAACCCAATGGTCAGAATGGATTCAACGGCAGTGAGGTGGTTTTTTTTTTTTTTTTTTCCTTATATTCTAAGGATAAAGGAAAGAAAAAACCAAAGTTAAGGATATTTAACAAGAGACACTTAGTTTTTCAAGTTTATCTTTTCTACCTTATTTCTAGATTCCCATTTTATGAGTACTTCTGGAAAGAAACATAGTTCCAATACTTTGTTTTCTACTTTTGAGCATTACTGAATAACCAGATGGTAAAGGAGACTATTCTTCAAGCATAGAAAAGACTGAAGAGACAAAGTATAATTACATTCCTCTTGTACTATAACAAGGAGCTCTGGCAGTATAGTGCCTAAGGCATTTGACTGCTAACCAGAAGGTTGGCGGTTCAAACCCACCAGCCACTCCTCAGAAGGGAGACTGGGAAATCTACTTCTGTAAAGATTTACCACTTCAGAAAGGTTGTGAGTCAGAATCAACTCAATGGCAGTGAGTTTGGTTTTGGAGTTTTTGCTATAACAACTGATTCCTTTTTATTAACATTTCAGTACATAGTATGGGTCTTGCTTGTGGTAGGTATTTAGTAAATTTGTGTTGAATAAAATTTTTAAAATAACTGATAGAAAGAGATTGTGATGCATTAGGGATTAAAGGTGTGTGGATTTCCACCTAACCAGAATTAAGTGTAATTGGGGGGAAGGGCAACATTCATACTCTGACCAGATTTTTTAATTTCTTTTTAGCATCTATTGTGTTTATCATCTGGACAACTATGAAATTCAGGATAGTGACTTGCCAGTCGGTAAGTCTAAGTGCATGTATTCATGAATAATGTGCTACTGTCCTATACACACAAGATGATATTGATAATAATGCTAAGATTCTTATAAAATATGCACCTTCTAAGAAATTAGGACTAGATCTCCACTTTGCAGGTTAGATCTCTCTTCTAATTTGTTATCCTAACTATTCTGCACATCATGGTACTTGGTATTGACATTTTTTTCTTTTTCACTCTGAGTACGTATCTCAAAATGATAACCACAGTCTGTCATAAATGTTGCCTTAATTAAAAAATCTCAAACACGAAATCCAGAGCATTAAGAACATTCAATATATGTGACCGGTGGAAGCCATATCCTTAATATTTGAGCACAAAGACTGGCCAATTAGGTTATGACAGTAGAACATTTCTTTGGAGGCAGCTAAGACTCTACTTAGGTAAAAATAAATAAGTAAATTAAAATGAAAAATAAACACACAAACACCTAGTATTATTTTCTCTTATCCTATATAAAAACACTTCCCTAAGATTCTCAGAGCTATAATGAGGCTTTGACATTTGCTTGGTTCAGTTGTTATCTTTTCTTCAGCAGTAAGCACTACAAGAGAAGAAACTTCATAAGCACTTTGTATACCCAGCACTTAGCACAGTGCCTAGCACACAGCAGGCTCTTGGTAAACATAAGTTGAATGAATAAAGAAGTATTTTTGTGCTATGACAAAGGCTTTGTGAACAAAGGGTTATACTAACATATGTAAACATTGTACTTTTCCCCTTTTAACAGGACTGGCGGGAGCTGTGGGTCGATGATGCCATCTGGCGCTTGCTCTTCTCTATGATCCTATTTGTCATCATGGTATTGTGGCGACCTTCTGCAAACAACCAAAGGTTCTTAGATTCTTCTTATTTAGTTTACCGACCATTAAATGGCCATGGCATCAATAAAGGGTAGTAGATAGGGGAACAGTGTTAAGGTTATATCATGTAGTGGAAGAAACATTGAGTCAGGAGAATTACGTTCTTATCTCAGCTCACTACTAATTTGCTTTGTGAGTTTTGACATGCTGCCTCTTTTTACCTCTTTGGGCCTTAGTTTCCTGTTCATATAACCTGAGGGAATCAAACCAGTTAATATGAGGCCTCTTTCCACTTTACTAGTGCCCAGAAGGGAGCTCTGGTAGCATAGTGGCTAAGGCACTTGACTGCTAACCAGAAGGCTGGCGGTTCAAACCCACCAGCCATTCCTCGGAAGGAAGGTTGGGCAGTCCTACTTCCGTAGTGATACTGCCTCAGAAACTCAAGGAGGGGTCGCTATGAGTCAAGGCTGACTCGACGGCACATAACAACAACAGCAACAAGTGCCCAGAAGGATAGAATGATTTCTGTAGTTAGCACTCATTTTGTAATGATAAGGGCATAAGGAAAACTTACATAACTGACTTTGGATTTAAAAATCCATATGTGAATTTGAGCAAGTCTCAATTATTTAGGAATTGTCTATCTTTATTTTGTGAATATCTATGCTTTTGTTTCTCCCTCCCCTGCTTACTTGTGTTTTGACAGTTAAGTGGTGATTTTAAGCAACCTCACCACTAAAGGAAAAGGATAGGATGGTATAACTAAAAAGCTAATTTTATACTCAAACATACTAGCAAAAGATTTGGAAAGAAAAATAGGTGAGGCCCTTTTCCTACCCCGTGAGAATAGTTTTGTTGTTTTTTCATGCTACTTAATATGTGTTCATGTGGAGGGGGGGATGGAAACAAACAATAGATAGATAATAGGCATGAAAGAAAACAAAGGAGATCTGAAGTCACTCTGTTCAGAAAGAACCTTGACATTTTGGTGAGCCTTCTTTTATATTGATTTATTGCTTTGCTCATGATAGATGTGAGAATTTTCCCTTTCTTCAGTCTTTTTTTTTTTCTTTTTACTTTACCTCCCCTTGTCTTTTTGCTCTCTTTTATTTTAAAAACATTGCACCTACTCTCCTAATGCCAGTGTTAACAGCCTAATATGGTTTACTCTTTTCATACATTATATAAATTGGTTTATTTTGTCATTTCTTTAGCCAAACTGGAATCTTCCTTTACTCACTTAAGAGTGCACTAGAAATTTCTTCTGAGACAATTGATTTAAATTGAACTTATCTATTTTCATGGCCCTGTGGTAATTTATGTGGTACAGATGCAATACAGTTAATTCTTTCAGTTTGGGATATTTTGTGTTTCCTCAGACCACTGATATATTTGGTGATTCCCTAGAAAGACTCATAGAAATCATTATTTAGTTGTATGCATGACTAAGATTTATTACAGGAAAATGATAAGATCGACAAAGGAAAAACACACAGGCAGAATCTAGAGAAATCCATATGTTCTTTCCTAATGTTTCTTTCCTCTTCTGAAGGAGCACATCAAGGCTGTTGATTTACTCAGCTGCAAAGTATGCAGTAACACATGTGCACTGTTTCTGCCCAGGGAAGCCCATTAAAGGCTTAGTGTCCGAAGTTTTGTTGGGGGTTCATCATGTAAGCACCCTTTGCCTAATACATAACCAAAATTTCAGACTCCCAGAAGGAAGGTAAATGCTTATCGTAAATTGCATCACATATAGTCCAGGCACAGTGATCTGCCCTTATCATTTAGGGAACAGGTCAGGTGCTAAGTTCCTAGAGGCCAGCCATGGTCAGAATTTGCAAGTAGACCTTTCTAAAGACCTGCTTTGTTTACTCTTTTCTACACCCATTGTCATCAAGTTGGTTCTGACTCAAAGTGGTCCTGTAGGACAAAATAGAATTGCCCTATAGTGTTTTCAAGGCTATAATCTTAATGAAGCAAATTGTCAAATCTTTATCCTGCAGAGCCGCTAGTGAGTTTGCTACCTTTTGGTTAGCAGCTGAGCACTTAACCAGTGAGCCACCAGGGGTTTAAGGGAAAAACACATAGGGGGATTAAAAATAGGAATAAGCTACAATTATGTATTAAATATCTTTGTCAGTCTATTCTTATGCACTTCATTACCCCTCACCCTGTTTTTTTCCCCTCCTCACAGCATTATAACCTTCTCAATTCTCTGTATTTGTTTAGTGTATCTATTGTTTAGTATCTGCTTCTTCCCCTCACCCCCAGCAAATGTAAATTATTCCTAGCTACCTGGAATAAACCACATCGCAAAATCTGAGTTAACAGTCCCACAAGACTGCCCTTACCTCTGACAATAGTTGCAAGTTTGACAGGTTCCCAGGACTATCCTCAGGTTTGATAATTCTTTAGGACTGAGAGTTCTCTGAATGCTGTTATGGCTATAATTTATTATACAGAGAAAGGATACAAATTGAGATCAGCCAAGGAAAGAGACTCATGGGGTAGAGTCTAGGAGGGATCCATACTCAGAGCTCCTACGCAGAGTTGCCAACCAGGGAAGCTAACTGAGCCTTTGATATCCAGGGTTTTTATTGAGGCTTGATGATATTTGCACAGGTGGTTGACTTTTAGTCTGCAGCCCCTTCCATAGGTCAGGCTTATTTATACCTTTAATCTCCAATTCTTGTAGAAGTCAGAACTGATAAAGTCTGGCCCAAACCCTCCAAAGTAAATCACATTGTTAGATTATTTGGTGGTCAAAGTCCCACACAAAAAAAGACATTCCTATCAGACAGGACATTTCAGGGACCTAGAGATCAACTTCCGGTAGCCAGTCATAAAGGCTACACTTTTCTTTGTGAAAGGTTAATTTTTTTACTATATACTGGCAAATAGCAAAAAATACTAGATTAATGAATGGGCTTGAGATTGCTGTATTAAAAGGTATGTGTACTTGTAACTTTTAAAGTATTACCAGATGACATTCCAAAAAAACTTGAAACAGATTGCATATATACCCATAATAGTATAAGTAAAATGGCTCCTTTTCCTCTTACACCCCCCACCCCGTCATTTCATTTAATTTTTGCAGTGGGTTGTTGTTGTTGTTGTTGGTATGTGCTGTCGAATTGGCCCCGACACATAGTGATCCCTCCTTGGGTTTCCGAGGCTGTATCATTACAGAAGTAGATTGCCCCATCTATTCCTTCTGAGGAGTGGCTTGTGGGTTTGAACCGCCAGCCTTCTGGTTAGCAGTCAAGTGCCTTAGGCACTATGCTACCAGAGCTCCCTTTGTAGTAGGTAGTGATAGATTATAATTAATGTTCAGTGTTACTTTGTGGTATGATGGATTGCTTTTGTATGGCCTTTCTCACCATGGTCTTGTAACTCCCACCAAATTATTCAGTGGGCCACGCAAATGAGGTATTTATTTATTATTTATTTATTACATAATATATTTTTATTGTGATTTGGGTGAAGATTTACAGAGCAAATTCACTTTCCATACAGCAGTTCACATACACGTTGTCTCATGAAATTGACCACAGTTTACCACAATGCAATAGCTCCCCTCCCACCTTCTCCCCACAGTTACCTCTACCCAGTGTCCATCCCTCCATGGAATCCTGCCCCCTGAGCTTTGTCCCTGTGCATAAACAGCCCTTCTTTCTCCCATGATTGTTCTCTCCAAGGAGTATATCTACTTGAGGTAAATGTTCAACTCATATGCCTGTCCTTTGCTTGACTGGAAACCACAGGTGTGGGTTCAATTCCAGATCTGAAGGGCAGCTAGGGGCCATAGTCTCAGTGGTTCCACCAGGCTCTATCGGACCAGCAAACCTGGTCCCCCCCTTTTTTTCCTCTAAATGATTTTGAGTTTTGTTCCACATTGTTCTCCCTCTCTATCAAGGATCTCCTACATAGATCCCCTTCCAAATGGATGACAGTGGTAGCCGGGCACCATCTAGTTCTTTTGGTCTCATAGTCATATAGGCTGCAGATCAGATGGTGTACCAGTTGCTAGGACTAATTGTTTCCATGAATTTTGGTTTTCTTCATTCTTCTTTGCTCTGGACAAGGAGAGACCCATCGTTGCATCTAGATGGCAGCTTGCTAGCTTTTAAGATCCCAGTCGCTACTCGCCAAAGTAGGAGGTGGAACAATGTTTTGTATAGTATGTTATGCCAATTGAGCTTGATGTCCCCTGCGACTATGGTCCCAAGCCCACAGGTTCAACTACTCGGTCTCTCTGGGTAGCTGGCTGTGACCAATTAGTGACCACAACCTTGCCCCTTGTCAGCTCTACTATACACCTGGGAATTCTGATCATTCACATAAACTTATAGGACCGTTGTCTGCCAACCCTATATATGTTCTTGGATATACTCCCCATTTCACAGACATACCTAATGGTACAGCCTGTCCTTCCATCTATCCACCCATATACCCATGTTTGCCTTCATTGACAATGTAGTACTATATGTGTGCAAGGGTTCATATTTGTTGTCTGTACCTCCCATGGACCTCTTTCTGTCTTTCTCATCCTCAATGCTGTCATATTGGTCACACAGATTTGGTACATTGTCCTTCTCTTCACCCAAATCAATACTTATCTCCATCTATCTAACAGCATTCCCTTCCCTCCCCTCCCACCCCTGGTAACCAACAAAGAAAATTTCCTTCTATAGATAAACCTTTCCTTAACTTTTACAATAATGGAGTAATACAATATTAGTCCTTTTGTGATTGACTTATTTCACTCAGCATAATGTCCTCCAAGTTCATGCACGTTATGCAATGTTTTGCAGATTCTACATTATTCTTTACCATTGCATAGTATTCCATTGTATGTATGTACCATAGTTTCGTTATCCATTCCTCAGTTGATGGACGCCTAGGTTGTTTCCATCCTTTGGCTATTGTAAATAGTGCTGCAATGAATATGGGTGTGCATGTATCTGTTCTTGTCATGGCTCTCACTTCTTTAGGGTATATACCTAGTAATGGAATGGCTGAGTCAAATGGTATTTCTAATTCCAACTTTTGAAGAAATTGCCATACTGCTTTCCACAATGGTTGTACCATTTTACAGTCCCACCAGCAGTGTATGAGAGTCCCAATCTCTCCACATCCTTGCCAGCATTTATTTTCTGTCTCATTGAACTTTGCTACTAGTACTGTAACTCCCACCAAATTACTCAGTGGACCACGCAAATGAGGTATTTATGCCCCATCATGGGGATTAGACAGCTTGCTAATGATGCAAATAAGGTGCATGGCATCCTTGTGGGAGGGATGGGACAATGCAAATAAGGTATGTGGAACCCTAATGAGAGGACTAGTCAGTTTTGACATCCCAGTAGGCTTAAAATGAGCCACCCCAGAGGTGGAATTGGGGGGGGGGCACCTTACTACCACCAAGAAGAGGAGACAAAAACAGAGCATGTCCTTTAGACCTGAAGTTCCTGTGCTGAGAAGGTCCTAGACCCAAGAGACAGCTGTAAAACCAAAGACAGTACAAGACAGCAAGAAGTGGCAACAGAGAACCAGCAGCAGAACCAGTGCAAGATGGTGCAGTAGGCTTCCTGGCTTACAGAGGAAGGCAGTTACAGTGGGTATGCCAACCCATGGAGTCAGAGAGCTGAGAGACTTTGACTGGAGAAGAATTGATGCCTTTGAATTGTGGTGAAGAATACTGAAAATACTGTGGACTGCCGGAAGAATGAACACATCTTCCTTGGAAGAAGTGCTGCTGGATTGCTCCTTGGAGGCAAGAATAGCCAGACTTCACCTCACCTACTTTGGTCATGTTGTCAGAAGGGAGCATTCCCTGGAGGAAAATACCATGCTTGGTAAAGTGGAGGGTCAGCAATAAAGCGGAGGCCCCTCAACAAGATGGATTGACACAGTGGATATAACAGTAGACTCAAGTGTAGCAAGGATTGTGAAGATGGCACAGGATTGGGCAGTATTTCATTGTGTTGTATACTGGGTCGCTATGAGTTAGAGCCAACCTGACAGCACCTAACAACAGCAACAAAAAGGCAATGAGAGTGGGCCTTCTTATTTTATTCTGACTTCAAAATAAATGCTTCTCAAGTATCATTAACTGTGATTTCATGGTGAATTTTTGTTAGTTACTCTTTAACTGGTTACAGAAATTCCCTACAATTCCTAGCTTATTAAGTAGTTTTTATCATGAAAGGGAGACTTAAAAACAAGGTAGAATAAAAAAAGCAGAAAAAAATTAAACCAAACTCACTACCATCGAGTCAGTTCTGACTCATAGAGACCCCTTCTTGGGTTTCTGAGGCAGTGTCTTTACCAAAGTAAATTGCCCAGTCTTCCTTCTGAGGAGTCCGTGGTAGGTTTGAACCACCAGCCTTCTGGTTAGCAGTCAAATAGCAGGCAGCTATAACATGGAAAGTACAGTGAAGTCAAAGCTAAAATAGTCTGGAAATTACTTGTCTGGTGGCTGCTTTTTTTTTTTTCCTAGCAGCTGCTTTGCTGAATCTTTACAATTTGGGAAAGAAGGGCATCTGAGACATACCAGATAGACCTTCGTTTTCTCAGCTTTCCACTTGGAAACTGAGATTTTAAATTACCTGGGAGAAACATCAGACCTCTATCTTCTTAACTTCTTATTTAAAGGCTGAGATTTTAAATTACATGAGAATTTACTTACTTCTGTGTGATACATATCCTTGTGAATGAATGTTTGTTGAATGCTTATTGGATATGTCAGGTATTGTTCTAAGTACTTTATTTGTTATAGCTTTTTTAATTTTCATAAAATCCATGAGAAGTGATAACCTTTATTATCCTCATTTATAGAGAAGGAAACAGCACAGAGAGATTAAGTAACTTGTCTAAGGTACAGGTAAAGTATGTCAGAGCTTGAATCATATATATGATGCTGGAGTGCTAATTAAGCAATTGAGGGCTTGCTGATGGGGATGAATTATTTCATTATTAATTAAGTTGATTTTATGAATGACTGTAATTGCAGTTTCAGTAATTATTCCTGTAAAATCCAAAGGGTGGAATAGTTTTTGTAATTTTGTAATTTTTTATTTTTGTTCTGTCAGGTTTGCCTTTTCACCGTTGTCTGAGGAAGAGGAAGAGGATGAACAAAAGGAACCTATGCTGAAAGAAAGCTTCGGTAGTTATAAAATTCACCTTTATATTTTACTTTACATATTCTTTTCTGGTGTTTAGAAATAAGGAGCTCTGTGGTATATTGGGTAAGGCATTTGGTTAACCAGAATTTTGGTGGTTCAAACCCACTAGCTGCTCCATGGAAAAAAGATCAGGCAATCTGCTTCTGTAAAGATTTATAGCTTTGGAAACCCAACGGAAGTCTCTGTGAATCAGAACTGATTGAATAGCAGTGGGTTTGGTTTATGTGTTGGTTTTTAGATATAGAGTAAAGTGAGTATAACATTTCCAGTATCAGAATCAAGATACTTAGTTACAAGTACGTTGTTTATTGTTTTTATAACTGTATCATTCCTCAATTACTAAATTGTTAAATTTGGTAAAGTTAGGGTGAAGTAAAAATAAAGGTATGATTCTTGAAATGAAGCCAGGGTAAATTCAATAAATAAATATACATTAAAAATCCAGTTTAGAGGACCAGTAATGGTTCATTGGAGCCCTAGTGATACAGTGGTTTAAGCCTTTGGCTGCTAAACAAAGATTGGCTGCTTCACAGGAGAAAAGTCTTGGAGATCTGTTCCCATAAAGATTCCCTGCCTTAGAAACCTTTGGGATGAATTGGAATTGAATTGATGTCAATGGGTTTGGTTTTTGGTTTAGATGGGTCGGTGGTAGAATTCTCATCTTCCATTTAGGAGACCAGTGTTCAATTCCCAGCCATTGTGCTTCATGCACAAGCCACCGCCTGCCCGTCAGCGGAGGCTTGCATTGCATGTTGATCTGATGCTGAATGAATTTCAGCAGAGCTTCAGATTAAAGACAGACTGGGAGCTCTGGTAGCATAAGTGGCTAAGACACTTGCCTGCTCACCAGAAGGCTGGCGGTTCAAACCCACCAGCCACTCCTCGGAAGGAAGGTTGGGCAATCCTACTTCCGTAATGATACTGCCTCGGAAACCCAAGGAGGGGTCGCTATGAGTCAGGACTGACTCGACGGCACATAACAACAACAACAACAGGAAGAAAATCCTGGCAATCTACTTCCATAAATCAGCCAGTGAAAACCATATGGGTAACAATGGTTCTGTCCCATTTGAGTATGCATTCATGGCAATGAATTGAGGGCCTGCTCTGAGGCAGCTAACAACAACAATCAACAAAGGTCCAGTTTACTTGCTTGAGTTGAGCTGTAAATTTGCCTTTGAGATTCCTAGCATAAGATGGAGAAACATCTGTTGTATAATTCAGTATTAAAAAGCTTAAAATTTAATTCTGAATTCATTTTTTGTAATCTTTGCTGGTCTGTTGTTGTTAAGCAATCTTTTTTTTTTTTCTTTTCCCTGTAGAGGGAATGAAAATGAGAAGTACCAAACAAGAACCAAATGGAAATAGTAAAGTGAATAAAGCAGTAAGTATGATATCTTTTCTTTCCTCTTTGGTCTTTGCCCTGAGCCTTGGTGGAGCTCAACAGTTATGTACAGCCTTTAATGATTTTTGTGTATATGTGACACAATTAGACTTAGTTTAGAAATCTTTTTAATATATATTACATTTACATATTTTAAAGCAAAGATAGCAAGTGGTTTTGTCTAAGGCTTTTATGAGCTTTAAGTAGATAGATTGTTACTATGTGCTGAAAAAGTACCAGACCAATCCAATGGTTCTGTTTAGCTGGTTTTACCAATGAAGTCATAACCACATTAATCTTCAGAAGTCGGCTTTGTAGTCATAATGACAAAAGGTTTTTCCGTCAGCAGTTTGTTAAGTATGGTATGCATCTACTTTCCATTAAGAACTTTAGAATCTATCTCAGCTTTAAGTGGTAAAGGCTGCATGATGCAAACTCTTTTAAGTATAGGCTTTTGAGAAGACAACATTTAAAGGGGTAGTACATCATTTTGTACTTTTGTTTTATATAGTTTTTTAAATTAAATTATTTGGATTTTCTGTCAGCAGCGTCATTTGCTATATGAATGTACTATTTCAGAGTGATTAGGTTACGTTTAAAGATCTCTAAACCTCTAGGTCCTTACCTGAGAGGTATTATTTGGTGCATTTTAGTAACAGTTGGTACTTGTGTGTTCGTAGCAGGAAGATGATTTGAAGTGGGTAGAAGAGAATGTTCCTTCTTCTGTGACAGATGTGTAAGTTACTAAATCATTATCACAAGAATCTACTTCATAGTCAATAATGCTTTTATTATTTTAAATGAATAATTCATTGAAGAGCATACTAATGAGAATCCTTATAATTAACTTTAGAAGAAAAATAAATAATTAAAAGACTAAGAGTGTTACATAGACAAAAGTAATTGAGATTATTGGTTCAGATGAAATTTTTGCTTATAAATATTTAGCTATCTTCCTAAAATCACTGGGATAATAATCCTTCTTGAAATTTTTTGAGTTCTTATCTAGGGCTATAATTTTAATGAAACATTAGCCCTATTAGAATGTAGAACATGTTTTGTCTTTTCTGTATAATTCCAGTAATTCTGATTCTTGTTTCTTGTATTTGCTATTTTCTTTCCACCTTGAAAGGGCCATTGATAAGATATAAATCTTAGATAATTACAAAAAAGTTTTAAATTACATTCATGATTTTACTGTCCATTTTGAACCATTTTACATTGCTTTATTGTGCATTGTTAAATTTGCCAATTTTTGTTTTTGTTTGTTTCTTTCTTTGCAGAGCACTTCCGGCCCTTCTGGATTCAGATGAGGTCAGTAATCAATATATGGGCACAAACTGTGCATCTGGTGGCTTAATAGGAAATTACGAATCCTCTGGTCTAGGGGAGTCTACATATTTGACTCAGTAATGGCCCCAAAGGACTATAGTTGGTATAGTTGAAAAAGGGTAAGAATGGAAATACTAATATTAGAACTTAGACATTCAGTAAAGTCTTCTTTCTGTGTATCTGTCTGTGCATATCCTGCTTTTCTTTTCCAAAGTTATAATGTCATACTTGAAAATGTTTAAATATGGTAGCCATACTATATCCTCTCACTGTATAGTTCCTTAATCTTTAAGAAATTAAAATTTAACCTTAATCTAATCTAGGCAAAAATAATAAGGAAAAATGTGAAAGAAATATAATAGACCAACCCAAAGTATAAATCGTTTAAAATAATTTTTTATTTAATGTTACATGTATTATTGCCCTCTTCAAATAATTAGTATTGTAATGTTTTTGCATTTAATCTTTTAATATACATACCTCCATACAGTCTGTCTAAACCAAACCAAACCAAACCCACTGCCATCAAATCAATTCCAACTCACAGTGCCCTCCATTGGACTTCTAAGGATGTAAATCATTACAGAAGTAGATTGCCACTCTTCCTTCTGTGGAGGAAGACACTTAGTTACAAGTACTAACTTGTAACCACCAACCTTCTGGTTAGCAGCCAAATGCCTTACCCACTATGCCACCAGAGCTCCTTACAGTTTGTCTAGAAGGCTTCAAATAAAGTCCTATGTAAGAATTGTGGTCAGGGTTCATGAGAAATAGTTTTAGACATGTTTTGAATATTAGGTTATTCCAGGACCTCTTGGTTTCTAAAAGCTTTTTGGGAGCATCTTGTCTGATTCTAATTGACAGTGTTGGATAGGCTGCTATAAAAATGGTTTGTTCATTTCCTGTTGACCTGCTGTTTGAAGCAGCATACAGTGTCAAATTCCTTAGCTGTTTCATTGAAATAATTGAAGATTTCTACTATTCTGGTTTAAACCTACCAACATAACACTTTGCTTTCTGTGATGTGTTATACATTTCCCAGATCATCTTGCACTGATAAGTCTATAGTACTTCCTTTAAGTTATTTCTTTGCTAATTGTTTGCCTCAAGATGTCCTTTGGCCTTAGGTCTGCAGCCAAGCTCTATTTCAAAGAGAGAGGGCTGTGTATGAAGCAACTAATTGTATCTTACCTGGGAATATGGGCTTAATTTTGGTAACAAACTTTACCAATATATTCCTGTTTTCCTTTGCAAGTATACCTAGTAAATAACAAGGCTTTTCTTTTTTTAAAAATCTGAAAAAGAACTTAAATAACTTAAGAGAAACAAGTTACATAAAGGACTAGGAATGAAAATGGCATCAGACTGTCTTACAGCAGTTTTGGAAATCAGAAGATAATAGCACAATACTTTTGAATTCTGAGGAAAGTTATTTTCAACCTAGAATTCTATACCCAGCTAAACTACCAATATAAGGGTAAAATAAAGATGTTTTCAGATATGCAAGAAGTAAAATGATTGATACCCTGTGCATGTTTTCTCAGGAAAGTAGTGGAAAATGTCCTACACGAAAATGATGGCAAAAACTAAGAAAGACTTAAAAACTCACTACTGTTGAGTTGGTTTGACTCAGTGACTCCTCCTTGGGTTTCCGAGGTGGTATCTCTACCCAAGTAGATCACCCAATCTTCCTTCCGAGGAGTGGCTGGTGGATTTGAACTACCAGCCTTCTGGTTAGCAGTCAGATGCCTTAGGCACTATGCCACCAGAGCTCCCAAGAAAGATTTAGGATGTAGGAAATAAGGGATCCAACACAAGAGACAGGCAGGGATAATTCTCAGGGTGACAGCTTAGAGAGAACTGAGTCCAGATTGGAACAGGAGAACAGAGGTATACAGGGAGGAGTAGTTTAGGAAAATAGGTCATCTGATTTGATTGATCATACTGTAAAGGGATTTATAGTTCAGTCTGAGTTTGGGATAAATTTGTTATAGACATTTAACAAATGAAGCAAAGGAAGACTGGGGACAAAAAACTTTTAAGAAATTTGAAGGAAAGGAAATATAATGATAGTACATATAATTTTATTAATTGAATTTGGATATTGTAAATAGTATTTTATAATCAAATGAAAGTTTAATGAGTACATATTATTCATTATAAGGATATACATATAATGAATAATATGTTTATACATCCCTATATGTTTTGGGTATTTAGTTCTTTGTAATATTTTGCTATAATGCTGAGTGTTTCATTGGACATTACTGTGGCTAAATCTATGCCCACATCCTTGACATTACTTCCAGTTAAAATTCTAAATGAGAGGAAATTCACATTTTTATTAAGCTTAACCTTAACTAAATACTTCGTCATTTTAATTGACTGAAATATACAATTCCTTTTGATTTGTGTTTTGATGTTCAGAAGTCTAGAGATTTTGATTCAGTTGATCATAGGTGGGGCCTCTGTATTTGTATGGTTCAAAATCTTTATAGATTGTTAAGAACCATTGCTCTAAACATTTTAACATAACTAAATACTTGTGGAAAATGTGTGTGTGAATAGTTTTATGTAGAAGATATTTGCAATGTAGCACATTTTAAATAAACTTTTTTTCCCCTTAGGAACGAATGATTACACACTTTGAAAGGTCCAAAATGGAGTAAAGAATAGGAAGAACTGGGATTGAAGATGACTAGTATCAGGGAAGAGATCAGCTTCTGTGTCAGTCTTCTACCACTGCTCCCTGGTGTTAAAAAAAGGAGGCAACAACTTCCTGATCTGTTCCTTGATCTTGGTGCATTGGAGCTGGCGAGAGGTGTCAGAACAAGGAGAATCTTACTGAAACAAGTTCATAGGATGAGAAAAATCTACAAGTTTCTAATTTCCAACATGCCCCGATCCCTCCCACACTCTGACATGGATGTTTATGCAACTTACATGTGTTGTTCCTGAGTCTTTTATAATGTTTCAGTTGTTTAATCTGTCAAACTAAAAAGTTTAACATCTTCTAAAGGACTATGACATCGAGGTCATAGTATGTAATCTCCAGGAACAAATGCTTGTGCTTTTTATTTATTTAGGGAGTTACATAGGTGATGGGGGGAAATTGTTAATTATCTTTCAGTTTCCTAGGAAGCCAAGGTTACATCTTGCAGAGATAGTTTTGAGAAAATACGGGCCCTTCTGAGTTAAGGAGCCATGATTCTAGCAATGATTCAAAGAACAACAAAGAAGGAAAGAAAGAAACTTACAGTGTGATTCAGATCATTTAAAAAAGCAAAATCAAGTGCAATTTTGTTTACAAATGGTGTATATTAAAGATTTTTCTATTTCAGATGTAACTTAGAAATATTAGCTTAACTCTTTTGACATCTGCTATTGTGACACATCCCATTGCTGGCAATGTGGTGCACACTCTGGAACTTTTAACTACTGTTTTGTAAGCCTCCCAGGGTGTAATTGTGGAGGTCTAGGCAACACTTTGTTTGCCTTCATGCCATTCACTGGGTGTTGCACTAGGTGCAGAGAGGCACTTCATCTAAGTGCTTGTGAATGAGCCCCCAGCCAGAGGAACTGTAATGCTTCAGAAAAGGGAGCTTATTACAGAGGAAATAAGTCCTTCTGTCTTAATTTAAACAATTATTCCTGCATGACGGGTGTGGAAGCCCTGGACTGCTGCTCATTCTTTAGGATTGATTGTTTTTATATCTGGCATTGGTTTAGAGACTGTTTGTAAGAGGCATCACAAGGTGATGGGATTCATTTGAAGCACTATTTTTCTGTTTTAATGGTTTTATCCAGTTTTGCCTTCCCAAGATTTTTTGTTCTACATAAAAAGTTCATGCCACTTTTTAATATAAAAAATTTTAACAAAATTCATGTTTTTCTCATTTTTCTTTACACTTTATTCTCAAACCCTTTTATTCTCAAGTTCTTACTCAAGGGAATTTTTCTTCCTTGGCTTTTATTCTCGGTAGTCCTATATTCCGTACCATCGGATAACCGTAATTGTCACTCACAGTGAAAGTGTGAACATTTATGTAGCATTTCTCTATAGCTTTCTGCTATGGTGATTAAACAAAACAAAACAAATACCTACACAATACCTTTCAGTAATGAGAATATGAAAAACTATTTTCCTGCTAACCTATTAGCGTGGATGGTTACTGTCATGTATGCTTCTGTTCTTGAATACTAAAACTTAGAGCAGATGACTGTTAGTTACAATGCAGCAGGATAATTGGTTCAGATATTTTTTGAGAGTGGTTAAATGTTGACTTGAAAGTAGGAAAACAAAACAAAACAAAAAAAACAGTGTTAAGCCAGAGTGTATTGTATAAATCCTATAGTCTGATAATTCTTTCTTCTGTCTCTTAAGGCTTTCTCTGTTACTGGGGTTGGATTGGTGTGCCATTTTTGGGATAGGTTTAGAAGGAATTTATAATCTCATGTTGCTCTGTTATGTTAGAGTTTCCTTTGTTTGTTTTGGTGTTAGCCCTTGAGATTAGAGCTAAAAACAGTTCTTCCAGCATAGCAATTGGTAATTTAAAATTTTCAAGAAGGTGATCAGCTTATGTGGTGAAAATTAGCCGATAACACAAGACTTGCTTAGCAGTTTTTAGGTTTCTGACTACTTAGTGTGTTTTCATTGGGTTTTCATAAATAGCATTTGGTAAAGGATGTATGTGATGTTTTATTTGGGGGGTGGTGGTGGCTGTGGTGGGGATTCCCAGATAGAGCTTGTTCTTGCAGATTAAATTTAGTTTTTGGTTTTATAAGTCTCTAGAGGGAATATACTGAGGTAACCTCAGATAGTGTAGGACTAATAGGAGGAAAGTCTTTTTAGTTTCCTAAAAGGAGTATGAAGGTTGTGAGACACAGCTTGAGAGATTCCATTAATAAGAATGAAATCAGCAGTTTTAAAAAGGTTTATTTTATTGACTCCCAAGAATTTGCTGAATCAACTCTTGCTACCTAGACCTTTGCTACTCAAAATGTGGTCCAAGGACCAGTAGCATCAGCAATAAATGGGTACCCATTAGAAATGTTCAATTGAGGGCACTACTCTGGACCTACTGAATTAGAATCTGCTTTTCAAACAAGATTAGGTGATTTGTATGCAGTTTAAAGTTTGAAAAACATTGACTTAGAAAAATGGTTCTCAACCAGGGGTGATTTTGCCCTTCCCCCTGGGGACATTTGGCAATATCTGAAGTCTAGATGTCACTAGGGTAGATGTCACTAGGGTAGATGTCACTGTGGGTAGAGGCCAGGAATGCTGCCAAAAATCCTACAGTGCACAGAACAGCCCCCCAAAACCAAACCAAGCCCCCTGTCATTGAGTTTAATTCCCACTTACAGCCACCTTATAGGACAAAGTAGAACTGCCCCATAGGTTTCCAGTGCTATAAATCTTTATGGAAGCAGACTGCCTCAACTTTCTCCTGTGGTGGGTACAAATTGCCAACCTTTAGGTTAGCAACCAAATGCTTTTAACCACTATACCACCAGAGCTCCTTGAAAAGCCCCCAACAATAAAAAAAAGTTACCTGCTCTATATGTCAATAAGGAGCTCTGGTAGCATAGTGCCTAAGGCACTTGACTGCTAACCAGAAGGCTGGTGGTTCAAACCCACCAGCCACTCCTCAGAAGGAAGGTTGGGCAATCAACTTCTGTAGTGATACTGCCTTGGAAACCCAAGAAGGGGTTACTGTGAGTTGAGTCTGACTCAACGGCACATAACAACAACAACAACATAAGTCAGTAGAGCAGCAACTGAGAAACTGTCCTAGAACAGTGGTTCTCAAGCTTCCAAGTACACACTCATCTTGGGGGCTTACTAAAGCAGATTGCTGGACCCTAACTCCTCAGTTTCTGATTCTGTAGGGCTGAAGTGAGGCCTAAAGGAGCACTGGTGTCACAGTGCCTAAAGGCTAATGAGAAGGTTGGCAGGTCTGACCCACAAGCTGAAGGAAGATGGGGCAATATACTTCCCTAAAGGTTTACTGCCTTGGAAGCCCAGTGGGGGTCACCATGAGTTGGAATTGACTAGATGACAGTGGGTTTGGTTTTTTGGTTTTGGAGTGAGGCCTGAGACTACATGACAAGTTCTCAGGTGAAGCTTGATGCTGATCTAAGGACTATACTTGCATAACCACTGCCCTAAAACATTGTAGTTAGGAAAACAACGGCAATACTAACAGCTACCATTATTGGGTGCTTGAAGTGTATGACACGTTGCCAAATCTTAAGGCACTTAGGTTACCCTCATTTTGCAGGGTAGGAACAGCCTCGAGAGTTTCCTAAAAGTCATGGCTAACATCTTAAGTGGGAGCGCTGGTGGCCTAGTGCCTAAGCCATTTGATCGCTAACCAGAAGGCTGGCGGTTCAAACCCACCAACCACGACTGGGAAGGAAGCCTGGGAAACTGCCATAGAGACAGGGCCTCAGAAACCCAAGGAAGGGTCGCTATGAGTCAAATCGGACCCCACAGCAGTGAGTTTGGTTTTTTTGAACAGTAAGTTCATTCAGAACCATTTTTCTAAGTCAATGTGGTGAAATGGCAGATCGCCATCCCAAATCTGATTAATGCCAGAGCATGATTAAGCCTCCACGTTATGCTGCCTTGAGCAATTCTAAAATTAAGACGATTTCCCTTCCCAGCTGAACTCATGGGTACTTGGCCCTACGAAGGACAAGCTCTCGCTCTAGGGTGAAAATGGAACTCCGTACGGATATTGCTGAGGATGCGCGAGGGGCAAGGCGGAAGGGGTGGGACTTAGGCTGCGGAAAGGGCGGGCCTAAGTAGCAGGAAGTCCGGGATTGATGATGGCCCCGTTGCCAATGGGCCTGTAATTGGGGGTCCCTGGCCGCATCACGGTCTGCACTTGTCTGGCCCTGGTTTCGGTTCCAAACCTGGCCAGGCCCATTAGGGGTTAGAGGGCGGCAGTGCCGTCGACTCTCTCCTGGCCGACATGCACGACGCTTTCGAGCCGGTGCCTATCCTGGAAAAGCTGCCTCTGCAGATCGACTGCCTTGCTGCTTGGGGTGAGCTAGGGGCCACGGGCCGAGGCGGGGTTAGCACGGGAGCGGGCCAGACCTTTCATGAAGTGTGGGGGAATGGACAGTCATCAGGCTATGTAGCCTCCGATCGGACCCTGTCCGAGAGGAGCCTGGGAAAGAGAGGGCAAGGGATGTGATCTCCGGCTGTGGAGAAGGTGATGGGGTTACGTGGGTAATATCCAGTGCTCCGGGCATTTTAGGAATGTTTCACGTGCGCTTCTTGCAGAGTTGGAGATTGAGCGTTCCTTATTCGTTTTACACAGCTTTGATCCTTTTCGATACCCAAGAAGTCTCAGTTTGGAGGGACAGTGCATTGGGAAATTCTCATCTTGCCAGTGGCTTGAACTTGTCCAGATGATTGTATTTTCTAGTTGAAACACAATAGCCTTTTTTGTTCACTGAACGAGTTACCACCATATGCTTTATTTTTCCCCTTAGCGGTTTCTCATCGTTCACTTTTGGTTCCTATACGTAACTCACATTGTTACTCTAAAACTCTTATCTAGCCAAGTGATTGAGGGTTCATATCCACACTGCCCAAGTAACCTAACTCAGTATGTAGAAAAGCATCATTCCAGACTGTCATGAGACCTAACCAACAAAAGCTTACATAATCCTTTTGGGATTGGCCAGTGCAGAAAGCAAGGTCAGGCATGTCTTGTGTAGTGTGGAGTACAAATGATGTTTCAGGGGTTCAAACCTTGACTCTTAACTATGAACACTGTGTCCTTTGAGTGGTTATATCTGATAACAGACAACAAAGACCAAGTAGAAATAATTTCAGTCTTTCCTGTTAATGCCCAGGTCCTGGAAATTAAGGACCCTACAAGGAAGCTCAGAACCCTTAATGGGATCTTTTACTGAGCGTGGAACCCATAGTGGTGGAATGGTGGAATCTTGGTGGTTGCTAGCATTGTATGCATCACTGTTGAGACTGCTACCGGTCATCCTTGTGAAATTTTCCCTAGCCTCTTTAGTAGGGCTCTTTCACCTCAAATCTTCATGTTAATGTTGCCTCTCCTGCCTTTAGCTGCCTTCGGCCTTCTTTAAAATCAGACCTCTACAGAAAGCTGTCCTAGTCTTTTAGGTTAAGGAGAGAATTTTAATTAATCCAGCTATCACAAAAACATCTCCATTTCCTGTCATTAAATGT